CACTCCCCACCTTTATCACAAAGCTCTCCTTTGAAGTTGGATTTTGCAGACAACACACCAGCCTATATAAAATTCACCTACTGGGGGACAGGGGGACAATTCACAGTCGCAGGAATGCAAGAGTACAGGTGGATAAGCATTTCATGACAAAGTCACTGCTTCTGAAGCACCACCCTGGCATGAGGAGCCCGTCTAGCATGGTGAAAAGGAAATATTTCTCTAGTCATTGACCCCAAATGTGAACCATCAGAGACTTTACTTACAAAAGTGATATGGAATGTGAAAATTTACAAATTTTCTTTTTTCCTTAAAATATATATGAATGTTGTCCTCACATAAATAATCCAGATTTATTGACAGTTATAAAAGCTGGACAAAGGAAAAATATTCTTTCATTCAGCCATCTCAGTTAACTCCTGCTATTTTGTGTAGGGCTGGTGGTAGGATATGTGAATTGTTTATAAGAACTCATCTTGCTCTTGCAATTTTAGCAGTAAGCATGAGGGTTTAATATCTTTATAAAACATATAAAAAGTGCATAATTATTTAAATAACTAGGTAGTACCCCCAAGTATACAATAACTAGACAATGTTCAATGCACAAATGTTCTATAACTATTTAGCTTATCTCCTAGTATTAGTACTTTTATCTCCTTCTAAGTACTTATCTCCTTGTAAGTATTTTTCCAATATAAACTATTATTAGGCCAAAAGTATGTAGAGCTTTACCTTAATCTTTGTATAAATTTTACCAAATTCTCCTATATGAAACCTATAATATTTTATATTCTCACTTATCAACAAGTATAAGAAATCTTATTTTTTCATGTTCCAGTATTATCATTTTAAAATTACAATAAGCAATTTCTAAATTGAAAAATACTAGTACAAAATAAATCCATAAAAAGAATGTGTCAATCCTGTAACATTCATTTTCCATAGAAATAGAGTTGATTCTTTAGAAGATAATGAAAAATTAAGCTGAAGAGAAAAACTACATTAAAAATAAAATTTTCAATAAGCTGCCTCCAAGTAATTCACTTTTCTATGAGTAACATCAGTTTTCCTTCAGGATTATGTCAAATAGACTTGAAAATAAAACTGTTTACAAGATAAAAGTTTCTCAAATGTACTATTAGAACATCAATCAGACTTTGGAATTCTGCTGCTAAGGGGCATATCATTTAAAATGTAGAGGTTTATAAACTGGAAAAAGTAAATAAAATAATCTACAACTTTTTGAAGAAAAATGGTGCTTGATTAGGTTTAATAATAATGGCTTGGCATAAAATAGTCATTAAAATTGTTAAAGTTTAGGAGACAACGAGAAAATCTCCCACAGTGTGACTTAATTATGATATTACAAACATTCCTTAATGTATAAATTGTTTTACATTAATCTTTATTATTTAGTTGTGGTAATCTAGCATACATTGTATTCAAGTCATCTCTTTTAATAGAATTTTATGCGTTTAAAAATAAAATATTGTCTTTATGGGGGATAGGCTGATTATAGCAGGACAGCTAAAATATGTTCTATATATCACATGATGCTTCATTTAAAAAGGGTTTGGTGATCAGATATGTCAGGAAAGACTCTATATTATATAGCCCTTCTTTTAGAGATCTGCAATGTACGGTTGTAAATTAAAAGCTCTAAGAAATTCTAAAACTATGCATCATTGTGCTTTATTTTATTTTAGTATATCCCAAACTTTTCGTCCAGGTTGTACATCATGCCTTCTGTCTGCCTTCTAAGAGGTGTCAGTAATGTCCTCAACAGCTCCACTTTCCTCTGCCCCTCCCCTTACCACCTGGTGAAATATGTGATGCTATGAATGGGCCAGGTGACTACCTCCTGGGATGCTCCGTGGGTAGGGAACTCTGCTGAGAGTGCGAGTGAAAGGTGGCCAGGTAGTTACAGGTGGCACTGCCTCAGGAAGATGGCACTTGATCTGATGCTGTCATTGTCAGCCTGCTTGTGGCTCCCTCAGTTCTTATGGATGCTGACATGGACCTTTGCCTTTATGACTCATCCACTCACCCTTTGGGATTCCTTTGCTATTTATTTTGGTTGCTCATTCAGGGCCTACAGTAATTGGAGAAGAAAGACCAGAAACTCCCTGAGGACTTGGTTCAAGCCTCAGATTATTTGCTAATTTATTTATTTAATTTTTAAATGCATAAGTTATTTGCTGTGCATCAAGCATTGAATACTTTGGAAATATTAATTCATTCAATTTTCACAAAACCCTACAGGATGCATGCTGTTTATTAGCCCTACCATATGAAAGGAAAAGCCAAAGCACACAGAAGTTCAGCAACTTGTTAGTTACTGAGAGTGACAGAAAGCAGCTGAGCTAGGGAGGGACTCAGTAATAACACTTAGCCACTGATGTAGTTTGAAAGTTTGTTCCCTCCAAAATTCAAATTGAAATTCCCAAATGTAATAGTATTATTAAATAGAGTTTTAGGAGATGATTACATCATGAGCAATCTGCCATCATGAAATGGATTAGTGCCCCTACAAATGGACTTAAGGGGCCTGCATTTCCCTTTGCCCTACTGACCCTTCTGGCAGGTAAAGACTTAGCAAGAGGGTAGCCAATCCTCCCTAGAAACCAAATGAGCTGGTACCTGGATCTTGGACTTTGTGGCCCCAGAACTGTGATAAATGACTTTCCTGTTGCAGACCACCCAGTCCCAGGTATTTAGTTATAGGAGCCAGAACAGACTGTAACATCTCATAAGCTAGGATGCCTCTTTGACTGATTTGCTTCTCTGCATCTTTAACCATATAATAAGACACACTCTGGAGAGTCCCTCCCAATTCTAGAATTCCATCTCCATCCTGCCTTATTGGAAGAGCTCTTCCCCTGACTCAGTCAGGTTTCCTTACTACTCTGACAATCACAGTCCAGTGTGACAAGTGTGACAAAATAATTGCAGGTGGCATCGCAGATCATTACAGACTGCTGGCAGGTGCTTCACACTTAGTAGTGATTTTACAGGAGAGGTCAGAGATATGAAAGTCACTTTGAGCTGTCAGGAAATCTAGGCCCGTAATCAGCAGGCAGCATGCTTATCACAGAGTGGATACTCAGATACCTGCTGATCAGAGGGTGCATGATAACGGAAGTCTCTCAGTGAATTTGAATCCTTGTCCACTAAAAAGAAGAGAAGGTCCGTTTTGGTTTTGGTGTGACATTGAAGATAAAGTCAAATAATGGGAGGACAAAATTTAGCTACGAGGAAGATCTGTCAGGTAAAGAGAGAACCTCTATCATGGTTGATAAAGTCAGAAGTCTTGATGATAAAACAGTTTCACTGTAAAATATTCATTCACCTGGGTGTCAGTCAGTTGCCAAAACGGCTCCTGGCCTATATCATCATGTCCCTGAGGCTCTGAAAGTCTCATTTATCAGTCATCTGGGCTTCTAATCTATTATGAAGTCCAATATGAATTGCAGCAAATGTGAAAAGCTAGATGCTTGAAAACATCTATCTATTTATCTATAAGTGGCAATCTTACTTTTATTTAAACTGGCAATATACAAATATAAAAAAGAGACAAAAAATGAAAAAAGTGTATAGGCATTATAAGTAGTTGGATTTTGCTTTTGTAAATTTTCTGTATTATTGCCTTATAGCCTTTTACAATAATTTTTAAATTACCCAGAATAAACTAAAAATTGCCCATTCTATAGTTTCCTGAGAAACACAGGTCTTCACGTGTGATGCATCACTATCCACAGGATCTCTATCCTGCCTTGACTCTTTAACCCTGCATGTTTTGAATACTAATGTATATTATACATTTATAGAGATTGTCAAGCAGGTCACAAAGCCATTAATGCATCAGACTCACACAGATGCTCTTCAACTTAAAATGGGATTTCATCCCAACAAACCCACTGTGGGTTGAAAATATCTAATGCAAAAATATGCATTTGATACAACTAACCTGCTGAATATTGACTCAGCAATGCATCATATCACAGGATGTCAGTGGGTCACTCTCCTGAGCACGAGGCTGATGAGGAGCTAAAGCTGCCCAGCATCATAGGAGGGCTCACCCCTTGCCTGAAAAGAGATAAAAATTTACAGTGGGGTTTCTACTGAATGCACAGCACTTTTGAAGCATCATAAATTTGAAAAACTCCAAGTAGACTGTTGTCAAGTCAGCATCATATCAACCTGGCATTGGGTTAGTGGTTGGACCTGGTGAGAAGCTGATGGGTGAGTCGAAAGAAATGGCACCAGAGACTGGAAGTGTCACAATTTGTTTTGGGCATTGTCAAACAGCACGAGTGTCACCTGTGGTAACATGCAAGGGAGAGTGCTCACAGGTTTCATCTTGGGGCCTCTTAGTTAAGTGCCACTAGAATAAGGAAAAGAAGTCAGGCCAATAGTGAGCAGAAATGAAAGAGCTCATGAGTCCAGAATGCAGATATTTAAAGGTTAGGAAAGCTAATGGCTTCTGAATTTTAAACAGTAAGAGATGAGATTGTTAAAAGACCTTTAGAGGCAAAGGTCCAGCAGAGCTTCTTAGTTGAAATAAATGACAGAAGCCAAAAGTAGGTAAAGGAATGCCTGCCTTGGCCCCATAGGTGTGAGGTCACCGCCTTTAGGTTTAGAGCAGGGGTGTGATGGAGGGGAGGTGGAGGAGGGAAAGGGAAAGGGAGACCAGAGAGTGGGACAGGGAGGGAGGCCAATCACAGATATGGGTTCAGGAAAAAGCAAGATGTAACTAATGGGAAGCAAATAGATTAAAAGCCCTGAAGTTTTCTCAGGGAAGAGTATTTGAAAAGAAGTTGTAAAGCTAGACCAAAAGGAAAAATTTTAAAAGTCTTAAGACTTTTAAAATTTTAAAAGTCTTAAGAATTAAAAGAACTCTTGGACTCCAACTTTTTACAGATGAGAAATTAAGCTCCAAAATCTCTTCCATCCCTAGTCTCCAATGCTCATGTCATATGTGGCCAAAGATGATAGTTAACAAGGAAGAAGGCTCACTCTTCCTGTCCTTCTCCTGAAACATCAGAGCCAGGAGCCACAGTCAAACAAAACACAAACAACAACAACAAAAACAAGAAAACGAGGTAGTTCTCCCTGAAGGACTAAGCCAGTGTCTAATCAGAGCAATGTCCCCATTTACAAGACCTACCCCCAGAGGATCAGGGGATTTCAGCAAGACTGGGACCAGCAAAGTGGTGGTACACTTACCTTCTCCCTGCTGCACCCTGTGGAGCAGATGGGGCATGGGCAATGAGATCTTCACATTTTGCTTCTATGCCATGTATTTAGGGGGCCACATCTGTATCTGATGGAGAGCTCTGCCACACATAGAATCTGATTCTGAATGAGACAGCCTGGTTTGGTTCCCTTTAGGAAATGTTGATTGTGTTCTGTGCGTGGAAAGAAGAATGAAAGAGATATTTGACAACCTGAAGGGCAGACATCAATGAAACCTGGTTCTATGTTTACCAGACATATTTTCTCTTTTCCTTCCTTATGGGTTCACTGTTATTCAAAAAAGTCAGTCTTCAGCTCTGCCTGAAAATAGAATGGTCATGTGACTACATTCCAGCTAGTGGCATGTGAGCAGAGGAGATGCTCACAGGTCTGTCCCACCAAATACTCTATTCTCTGTCCTCTTCCTCTTCTGCATCAATCTTGCAGGCTCTTTGATAAAGACTGGGGTGTCAGAAGAAAAATGTATCCCTTAAAAGAGGGTCCCCCCATTTACACTGGATTATTCTTTGATAAAACAATAATCGTCTTGTAATTTTTCATTGATAAACCTATGAAATTGGTAGTTGTTTGTTATCACTTAGCTCAACTGTACTAAATAGAAATGTGTCATAATTTAGTCAGTTTTGAGAAATCCAAATGAAATGCAAATATTTCATTCCTTTGTTCTAATAAATATATTCATTTCCCCATGACAACTACAAATAAATCTTAGTGTAAACAATTTTAAAACTATAGACATCAGTAAATAATTTACACATGCCATTCCATTCTACCCCCAATAGAAAGCAGGGAATCATTTATATGATAAGTGTTGGAAACAGAAATCAGACCAATGTTCTTCCCATATATTACATCTCATGAATGGCTTCAACTGTGACCAATGGGCATATTCTCATTTCAAGGTTAGATTATGAATGAAAATGAGATTGAGCCATTTCAATAGCAAACATCCAGCACCTTCTGCTGATCACAGACATACACTGATTCGCCTTTGAGTTACAATGGAGTTATGTCCTGATACACTTGTCATGAATTGAAAATTTGAAGGTTGAAAATGCATCTAACTTGCCTAGCCTACCAAGCATTAGAGCTCAGAAACACAGCATGCTGCAGACCATGAGCTGTTTACCCTAGTGACCAAGTGGCCTATGAGTGCCTGTGCAGACTGCCACTGTCCAGGATCTCCAGAGAGTCAAACATCACCAGCCCAGGAAGAGACCGAGATGTCAACTTCAAAGTTGAACAGTTTGTACTGAATGCACATCACTTTCACACTGTCAGGACCCTTCCTTAGGTCACTTGATGATACAGTGTGTCCCTGGGACAACTGGCTGAGCCTTCTGGTTGACAGAGCATGTTTTACTCTGTGGCAAGTTTTCACTTCAGACTTACTGAATGGTTCTCTTTTATGAGTTTTTACTTGCTTCTGTTTAATAAAATATATACTGTATATAAAAGCAATACATTTTTATTATCTATATTGCCATATTCACATTCGCTTTTAAATATGTTTTAAATAATTAAAGCATAAACTTATAAACATTCAAAGGAAAAATATTCCAAGTTCCATTTCAAGAATTTTTTAGAAGGAAAAAAAATGGGAAAAAAAAATCTTCTTATTCCTATGGAAAGATTTGATCACTCTGAGAGAAAATCAGAATAAGGAAATGTTAAATGTTATGTCTATTGACGTCTGACGTCTAAAATGGTACACGTACATAATAAACATTATGAAAAAGATAATAAAAGTCTGTATATTAAGAAACAGATAGTGATAAAGTGAAAACTAAAGCATTGCTCATAATTAATGAATTTCTAATATTTTTCATTTGGTTTTGCCACATCAAAATAATCGGGGAATGAATTTAGATTGGGGCATTCTAACTCTGGCATAGCATATCACTGGTTAACTCTATCTTTCAACATCTTAAATGCAAGCAATATTCTGATAGAATAAAATCTTTATTCATTTAGAATGAATCATATTTATAGTCATAATGAATTATTAATCATATCATGAATAATTTGTGCTAAAAAACTCTGATATTCAAAGAATATTTCAGGCATCTTTGAAAAAGATTTGGAATTTTTCAATCCCAGCAATCTACACAAACTATTTATTTCAAGGAAAAATACATTTTCCAGAAGGTTTCACATCAACATGAGAAATCAAGTTTGATTGCATATTTAAATTTACACCTTACACCTGGCCTCATTCCGTTTCCACTTTCTAATCACTACAATATCATTTCAAGATATTGACAATGCTAAGATATTTAGGGAATGGTGCTTTAGAGATGATTCAGTGAAGATAATTATTCTATCTTTATGAATTTCCAGTTAAGCATTTCACGCTGATTTGTCAGCATATAATCCTGTAACTGTAATTAATTTGACAGATCTATAATCAGGATTCTTCGGGCAAAAACTAAACCTTTGGTTATTTTAATATCTTTTTAAACTCCTTTTTCATTTTCACTTACTACACCTTTCCAATTAACTTTATATAAAGCTTTAAACTATGTCCTTAGTTTTTCCTTCACAAAAGTGACTTGATATCTGAGGGCAAAGATCAGCAAATTAGTTCCTGAGGGAATTTCATATGTTAATGAAGGGTAGATATTAGCCCTTGATATTAATGGAAATTATTCATGCTCATCATGCCATGTAATCTCATCATTTGCAAGTCTCTTATTTCTGTCTAGAAATAAAGACTGAAGTCCTGTTTTTGAACTAAATTGTTATTGTGTAGTAGATAAAGTGATGGTTTTTAATTTATACCTGTGTGGATTTAATTTTTCCTAATATTGTGCCCTTATTCTTCCCAGCTAGTCATTTTTATCTAGGAGTTACCTTTTCCTCTTCAACTAACACCTTATTATTCTGGGTGAAATAGAAGAAGACCATGTAAATTTAAAAAAATTAAAAAGGAGAGTACTAAAATGTTAGAATAGAGAAGGTCACTTTCCTGGCTGCTTTATAGTGTAAACCCTTTTGTAAAGTAACTACTTTTAGCATGGGCAATGACTGATCATATCACTTCTGCTTACTGTGTCACATAACATTGTAGATGTCAATATATGGCTTAATGCTATATATTGTTTGCATTGGTTCTTGTTATTTTTTGTCTCCCCCTAAACAGTGAGGTACTGGAAATCTTCAGGGACAGTATTTAAGTCCACAAGGTAGAAAATCTACTACCACAAATGCATAATGTTAGACTCATAGAAAAACAATATAAAAATCAAGTTAAAAAAATCACCCCAAACACTGAGATACTCCAATAATAGAATCCATTGATTCCACAGTAGAAGAAATATCAGAGAAGGAGTTTAGAATATGCATAGTTAAACTGATCAGCAAAGTAAAGGCAACATAAGAGGTTACATCAGAGAGAAAATACAATAAGTAAAAGATAACTACAATAAAGAGAGATACATTCTAGAAAAAAAATCAAGCAGAAATCCTTAGAATGAAGGAATCAATTGACCAAATTAAAAATGTATTAGAAAACATCACCAGCAGACTAGACCACTTGGGAGACAGAATTTCAGGCAATGAAGACAAAATATATGATCTTGAAAATAAAATTGACCATAGAGAAAAGATATTAAGAGACCATGAGCAAAACTTTCAAGAAATATGGGATAAGATGAAAAGACCAAACTTAAGATTTATCAGGACTGTTGAAGGCTCAGAGACACAAACCAAGGGAATGCACAACATTTTCAAAAAATACCTAAAATTTTCCCAAAACTTAAGAATGAAATGTAAAATCAAATACAGGAAGCATACATGATCCCAAATATATAGATTTACAATAGACCCACACCAAGGCACATTATATGAAAATGACTAACATACAAAGTAAGGATACTATTTTAAAGATGTCAGAGAAAAATGACAGAACATATGTTGAGGGAAACCAATCCAGATCTCAGTTGATTTCTCAACCCAGACCCTCAAAGCTAGGAGATCTTGAAATAACATATACCAAACTCTGAAAGAAAATGGATGCCAACCAAGAATACTATACCCAGTAAAATTAAACTTCGGAATAGATAATAAAATAAAAACCTTCCATGATAAACAAAGTTAAAAGAATATAAAACTAGAAAGCCTG